TTTGACGGATCCTCGAGGTCCGGTAAGAAAGGTAGATTCTCGAAGTCTAGTTCGAGAGGAGGAGGATCAGAAGCAAAGTGGTGTGACAAGTGCAAGAAGAAGCACTCTGGGAAGTGTGATGGAGGGTCACTTGTTACAAATGCGGAAAGCCTGGGCACTATGCCAAGAATGCACTCTTAACCAGAAGGCCTGTTATGGGTGTAATGAAGAAGGGCACATTTTGAAGGACTGCCCGAAGAAGAAGGAGCAGGAAGACCCAACATACCACCAAAGCCGAAGGCGAGAGCCTTCAGATGACGCTCGAGGCTGCAAAGGAGGCAGCAGACGTCGCTTCAGGTACCTTTCTTGTAAATGGTTTGCCTGCAAATATACTTTGATTCCGGAGCCAACTACTCCTTTGTGTCGCATAAATTTAGTGCGAAATTAGCATTACCTGTAGAAAAACTTGATACCCTAATTGTAGAAGTTGCCAGTGGCAAATTCGTACCTGTTAGTAATCGTATTAGGAACATCGTCATTGACCTAAACGGAAACGAATTCCAGGAGGAACTATTACCCATAGAGTTAAACGGTTTCGACATCGTTTTGGGTATGGATTGGCTTAGCGCCAACGATGCCGAGATATTATGCCGAAAGAAGATAGTTAGGATAAACCCACCCGGAAAGGAATCATTTATGGTGTACGGGGACAAACGCAGAGTGAGTTCTGGAATCATATCCTTGATGAAAGCTAGGAAATGTTTGTCCAAGGATGTGCATCATACTGTACTTGGCATTCGTAATCGATGCTAAGAAAGAAAAGAAAGAGGTGCAGAATATACCGGTTGTGTGCGATTATCCGGAAGTCTTTCCCGAAGATCTTCCTGGATTACCACCTGATAGGCAAGTAGAATTTCGTATAGACTTATTACCAGGAACAACACCGATAGCAAAGGCACCTTACCGATTAGCACCGACGGAGATGAAGGAGCTCATGATGCAACTTCAGGAGCTGTTGGATAGCGGTTTCATTC